TTAATAATGAACATTTTATTCTTATATTAAAAAAAAATACGAGTTCTAAACTAATATGTGATCGCAATTATGCTTACGAAACATGCAGTGATTAGATGTAATTTTACTGAAGCGCGGCTAACGAAATGGCAACGATAATATTTTATATAATCTGTGCGATCGTGGATGCAAAAAGTTTCATGACAAAAAAAAAATCAGCGGAAGTTTAATTGGCATTCACGGAATTGCAGCGGAATGGATTAGCGGGGTAATTAACAGTTGTCGCTTACGGTACTACATACGTCGCATTCGCGTAAGCAGCTACATTGACTTAGCTAATTAGTTGATTGCGACGTGTTAATTTGCACGGCCGTAAATCGCGCACACGCAACGTATGTACACGTGCAACTATATGCTAACGGCGCGCAAATGTAGCAGAAACGACGTAGTTTTCCAAATTGCGTTTCACGGACCTGGCAAGAAAAGTTACAGTAATGCATTTGTACTCTGCGGACTTCTGCACATTTAAAGATGAAGAATTACATTTACAGTGTGTTGTTGATATAAGGCTAAATTCGCTTTAATTCCTCTAGTTAATCAAATTAGAATTCCAAATTGAAGATTGAAATTAAGTTTAGCATAAAATTTTGTTATTTATTCGTATCCCTCTGAAGTTTGATTCATAAATTTTCCGCTAAAGCGCTTAGAGATATCGATGTTATTAACTATATATTAAAAGCAATGAGGAATGTGAAGTATCTTGTACACGTGCTTGTACGCAATAATGAATAAAGAAATATGACATAAACTAATATACGCGATTTTATTGATCATATTAACTAAGTAATATCTCTTTGCGTTTCCTCCAAGATTAATCACCGGCTACAGCCCTGCAATCGTTTCTAATCGAGCGTGACGTATCTAATTGAACATTCATGATATTGTCAAGGCGCGCGGAGCAGCCGATGGAGAGAAAATAAATGGGCGCACGCGAGATCGAACTCGCGGTAAATTAAGTAACATCGATACGATGCAGGTTACCACTCGTTTCGCGATGGAATCGCACTAAAACACGCTCCCGCCGATGTTTATTACGACGTATACTTGCGACACATGAAACGGCTATCGTCTATTAATCCACGCCGGGAATAACAACGAGATAACGTGGGGCACATGGTCATGGTGGAATGACGATTTGTATGATTGTACTAAAAATGATTTACCGTTTGACGTTTATAAATATGTTCCATTAAAGATTTACGTGCTCCAATGCTTTGATTTGCATATTGCAACGTTTGAAGCTATTATAAATGTTATACGTAATTATATTAGCATGTCAAAGTGATAACATCATTTCTTTGCTATTATCCTGCGTACACAAAACATTTCTATAAAGAATTTACGTAATAGAATTAATCTCAATGATTTTTATAAATGTAAATGTATTATAAAGACGTTTTTATATTGATAGAAATAACATTGACAGGTCTTATTATAGAAAGTTTTATCGAGTGCTAGTAGCTACAAATAGATTGGAATATTTTTACGTTTTGTATTGTTTTTTTATGTTCCTTATCTTTGCGCACAAAACAAAGTTGGCTTGGAAATTGATGTACAGTAAGTAGCGCAAAAAAAAAAACATAAAAAGGTCGACACGATCACTTGCAGCCGCGAACAGATGTGTGATCTCGTGGGTTTATTTATTCGCTCGATTAAGCCGAAAAATTTAATGTGTCTTATCACAAGGGGAGAATATGAGAGAGCGAACGCTTAGAGAGCGACTCCCGACTCTACGGCACGCGGTGAAATTATAGTGTTTACGCGAATTAGATTTCGGTTTCGGTAATTTTCAGTTAATAACGACGAGGCGAGCCGGCCGGCGAGCGAACGCTAAGTGCGGCCTCGGGTCCCATTAATGCTATTATAATGTAAAAGGCTACCTATACGTTTTTCTCTCTCTCTCTCTCTCTCCTTCTTTGCTCTTTCTAACTTCGTCTTTCACTCCCTCGCTCTCTTCGCGCGTCGACGAACTCGCAGTTGTACACGTCGTTGCGTGTGCGTGAGAACAAAAAGATAAATCCGGCAAGGTTTAGATCTCTTGTATATTATCGGCATTACGCTGTACAGGGACTACCTGCATTATAAGCTCATTTCCGATAAATTGGCTCGATTAAAAACTGCCGCTTAAGAATCGCGTAAACCACTTCGATCCCATCCTTCCCGCGACCGGCTTCTTAACCCTTGCTTCCTATCGAGTCGACCGCTCGTTTCTAGAAATTTGCTCGATCGACCGCCGTTTCGTCTAAAGACTTCGCATACGAGCGTATATCGACGCACATAAGAGCTGCATTTCGCCTATATGTGCAAAACGTGACGAGAATACTTATAGTCGTAGCAAATTAAATTCCTTCCAAGATTTAAATTGAGCTAAATTGAATCAAGCATATGAGTATATAAATGGAAAAGATCATTTACGTGTCATATGTGAAGGAACAATTTAAATGCATAATTATGCATAACAACATAAAAAAATGCTCAGTGCTATTTGAATTAAAATGGTTAGTTTAAATATCAAGACTTGTATAAATTATATTTACATTCCTCTTCTAATCTATTTTCAATAATACTTTTCATATTATAATTGTATGAATTGTGTCGCAAAAGTTATATTAAAAAGAATAAAGATTTTGAATGTTTTATATAATTACAAATTCTATTACAATTTTTAAACTTTTATTCCAGTTCTATTTTAAATTTTCTCATTTATGCATTCACAGTAGTAGTCTATAATCTCACCTCCTAAAGTCACCGACTTATGCACAATATCTATTGCGAATGATTCCGTTACAACTTTACAAGCAATATCGAACGTTGTTACACGACTGCCACGACGCGACATCACGATCATGCCACGGCACGGGTATGTAGGAATCATTAATTCCTACAAAGCAAGGTCGCGGTGAAAGGAATGATACCTCTGCTATATGCGCGCGTGCGTCAGCATTTGCATTTAAAATTTCCGATGATTATTTTAATCCGCCTCTTTCCTTAATATATAGTAATAAATCACATATTTATCCATCATTACGTCAATTTCGCATTTGAATATTGAATTATATTCGAAACTGATTTAAATTTATGATCATAGTTGCAATATTTTGCAAAATAATTATATTATTATGGACAGTTAATTAAAATTAATTCTATCACTGATTAAATTATCATTTTGATTGAAAAAATGATATAAGATAAATATATATATAGACTAAGATTTACATAAGCAGAGTTATAAATTTTTTACTAATAACAAATTTGTATGGCTTCTGTTTTACAAAAAAAGTAAAATTTGTGATATGGGAGAGGAACATAAAAACGAAACATAAAAAATGTGCGCTTATTAACTAATCTATCGCGTGAACGTGTACGGTTGCTGCGGACGATAACGATATCATGTAGAATTTTTACATTATCGCCGCAAAATACCGCGGAACGCACAGTATCTCACGCTCACCGAGATATTTTTTTCGGCCAGAATAACGGTACAGTGCAGAAATTAACCACGACAGGTTTATAAGGTGCAGTGAAAGAACGATTAAGGAGGGTCGCGTTCAAAAAATAAATGGATACGAGAAGCGATTGTATCGTTTTGTTCGGTTTGTAAATTGCGTGACTGTTCCCTTCATTTTTTCAACAAGATAACTTGCATGTATGTATGTATTCATAATCAGTGTAAATTCTTTACGGGTCCACAAAAACATCTCCAAAACAGCAAGTACAATTTACATACATATTTCGTTTCTCTGATATAATGATTAAGTATATTCCAATCTAATGCAATTATTTTTACTGATTACAACAGAGTTCTACTTTTAAAAATATCGACATTATGATTTCACGCTTGATAAAGAATATGAGACTTTTTTCACTTTTAATCTTTATTTATATAAATTTATATAAATTTATTTAATTAATTAAATTAATTTAATTATATAATATATATAGATTTATATAAATTTAATTATTAATTTATCTATTTCTTCCTTGATATCTTTTCTTACAAAATGAATTGCGAAACGAATACCTGATGCAATACTGAAGTAGTGCATTGTTTAAGCTTGGTTTTCATAAATCAAGGAAACGTAAAATTTTTTATAGCCTAATAGTTGCTTTAATGGTCAGTTTAATTATACAGCAGTCACTTTATAAATCTTTCTACAAAAGCGGAAATTTGAGGCACGGAAATTCCAAATCCCGAGGTGGTTTACGGTCAGCGCGTCGAACTGCCGGCATTTAAATCCGCTCGCAACGGAAACTAGACCACAGTGATTTCCCTGGCCATTCGTAGAATCTGATCGTCGCTGATAACACGTTGTGGTCACCGGATCACGTGACGGCTGATGAATCGTTTCACACTCTGTTTCATGTTTCAGTCGCGACTCAAGTAGCCTAACGAGAGCATTATCCTTTTATCCTATTATCGACCGCGACACTAACGCGTCTCTTTGTATTTTTTTAAACAACTATTTATGAACAACTAATGTGACGTTATTCTGTATAAAATTATAATTATCTAGAGATTAAAAAAAAGTTTCGAAACACGTGTAATATAATTTACGATGTATAATTTACGACATTTGTGAATTCTAATTTCAGTAAGTGTGGCAGTAAACTTTGATATTGTTACTTTTATCTTTGCGATCATTTGAAAGTGCATAAAATTACTTTGCTTACATAAACAGTTAGATCAAAATATCAATCGCCTTTAAAAATCAATAAATATTGCATTGGCTGGATTTTAATTATAATCCAGATATTATATTTATTCCTTGTTACTTAATTGACAAGATACTATAATTAATCTACAGTTTTATTCATTGAATAAATTTGTACTCACCAGAATTACGTCGACTTTGATCCCTAATTCGAGGATACAGCAGCATTGAGAATTTTTGACACCTGTAATCAAAAGAAAATACATTTATTATATGATTTATTGATAACATAATTATTTTTTTGTGTAGATCATTCGTCGCGAGGAGGCAGCGAGCAGGCCGTCCCGCAGACGAGTCCTGCAAGCAGCACGAGCAGCTCGAGTCAGGTAATTCAGGTGAGCCAGCAGGTGAGCCAGCAATCTCACCCGCAGTCTCACCAGCAATCGACGCCTGCATCAACGACGACTACGCCTCAATCCACCCAAATGGGCATCTCTACCGAAGAGGTGAAATCCGAAGAAGAGGGTGTCCATCCACGAGCGGCGCCGACCAGCCCCGAGAGCGAGGCAGAGGTGGATGATTTCGCGCCCAAGAGAAAACAACGCCGCTACAGAACGACCTTTACCAGCTTTCAGCTGGAGGAACTCGAGAAGGCCTTCTCCAGGACACATTACCCGGACGTGTTTACGAGGTAAGTCGATTTATTATCAGGTTGCAACAATTTTAAACTTCATCTTGACTCAAATAGAAAGTCTAAACGGAATTTTTATTTGAACAATGAAACATTTCGTGTAGACATTTCGTAAAGACTGCGAATATCAAAAGTTCAAAGAATATTTTTTTAAAATAAAACTGCATATAAAACTATCAGTGTTATTTATAATAATAATTAGGACTCATCGTGATGACATGAATAATAACGCATAGGATACCATAAAATAAACAACTTTGCTTTAAAATAAGAAGTATATGTGCTCTGAATATTGAATAGCACAGTTGAATAACCGTGCATTAAATTAATCGTCGAGCGTTGTCAACGTTCCACAATAGCAGTCAAGCGAAAGAAACTAGTTGGCACAAAGCTATTTAGAGCTGCCATTCCTCTTCCGATGACAATCCTGACGGCTAAGAGCTTATGGTATATCTCGGTTGCAGGATAGGAAGTTTATGTACCTCTCGTAAGTCCAGACGATAAGCAAGGTGTCTAGCCGCATTTATCAGGCTTTAGAATTCGTGCTCAGTGGAGTAACGGGATTTAGATACAATATAAGAGACCGTCTATCGGCTGCCACCCAAATATTTGGTTGTCTGGCTCCTGTGCACTCTACTGGCTATCGCTGATATCGTCTCTGGCTACTTATTGAATTCTTTTTCAAAAATGGTCCTGGCTGCAGAACATTTACGATAGTCCTTGAGCACGGTTATAAAAGAGATCTGATCATCTTAAGTATATACTACCTGAGACAGCCTCGAAATAGTGATGCTCGGCAGACGATTCGAGACACAACGCGTGTCGTGTTTTAAAAAGGTACGTTAACTAATGTGTTACTCACGTGACGTGTTAACCACGCCAAATTAGGTCCTAATTGGCAAATAATGGATCTAAAAAATGGAAAATCTATTCAAGAGATACATGTCACTCAATTACAGATAAGATTAACGTACTGATCTAATTATGTGATAAAAACTATGATATTTCAAGATTTTATTTTAAAAATAAAGAATTTTGAAAGAAAATATTAAATAGTAAGATAATCAATGTTTACTGTAGTTGAATATTCGTCAGTCATACATCTTTTTGTTTCATACATTATTTTGTAATAGTGATTTGATTTCATAAAAAACATTTAAAAATCTCTGATATAAAAATATATATTAACATTTTTATATTAATAGCATATGTTAAGAAAAAAGAGAGGGGAAGAAACAAAATATCAAAATATCAATGCGAAATTGAAACTCTCCAAAGCTTTTAAGCATTCAAGTCTAGCCTTGAGTGATGATTATGTTTGTTTCTTTTTTAATCTTAATCCGTGACATATTGTAAATGAATCACACACACGTAAGCATTCGTGTAAGCCTCTGAGGGTATTCGCGAGTGTAAATTCGCGGAACGATACATCGATCATCGGGCCTTCCTGCAGCCAGGCTGACGATCCTCATGCAAATTCCCATCCGTAGATGCGGAACGACGATTTTGCATTATTAAGTCCCTTGCACACTCGGGTCCAGTTACATACATACAGTATATCGCGCCGCCATTGGGCCGCGGCGCAATCTATCTGGGTAGCTTTTTCTTTCCTCTTGTCCTTTTTTCGGTGCCTTCCTCCACGCCGTGGAACACCCGGTAGGTAACTAATAGCGGTGTAATCGCTCGTAATAGGTCCGGTCCTGCGGCCACGGTATGGGTTCTCGTAATTAACAAAGGTGGTGGGGAGTATACAGAGAGAGAGAAAGATGAAGCAGGTAGAGTGTCTGTGGTATACGATCGGACTGGAGACCGGAGATGCATCTGCGAGCGTGGCGAGACACGCTACGCACGTGTGTGCGTGTGTGAAACTGCGACAAAGATAGTCCTAACGAGCAAAGTACACTTTCCTTTCGTTTATCTAGCGAAATTAGAATCGACTTCTTTGGTATTCTAATAATTTTTTTCCCGCAGTAAAAAGAAAAGATTCTCAAAGGAAAGCTATAAAACTTTTCTGTGACGAGCAAAAATGTAAAAGGAAGAAGAGATTTATCTCCGCAATTGTAATTCGGAAATGGATTGATGTTTCGATTTCTCGAGGAAATCTCATATATTTAATTTGATAAAAGAGTTGATAGATTAAAAAAGTATGACAAATTCTGTAGCCTTCTGTAGTTACAATTACAAACAGCGATGAAATCATCATCTTGCTGTTCATTAATGGAAAAATGTGTGTAAGACATATCTAATAAATCCACTTTTTGTTTATATTTCTTTTTAGATACATCTATTAAATTAATCTGTCTGTAATTTTCAATTATTCAGTTTTCGTAATTGATATGTATTCTCTTATAGTAACAACACTAATTATTATTATTATTTGTCGTTAAAAAAGTTTCTTTTTTTCTTCAAGGAAACAGTTAATAATTGGCTTGATTGACTTCTAATAACATTCGTCGCGCGTATTAATTTATCCTGCATTCATTTGTATGCGCTTCCTGCCGGAGGAAAATTGCCTGGCGTTTTCTGTCGTTTCGCAATATAAATTGATTCCCGTATCTTCCGCTATTTCACCGTGTAGCAGTATTAATTTCACACTAATTGGATTTTATGGTCGCTTAGGTTTATTGACTAGTTTGACGGGAGACAGAGAAGCGGTGAGAGAGAGAGATAGAGAAACAAAAAGAGAGAAAGAAACCGCGTTGTGGAAGACGATGCATATTCATTAGATGCCTTTACACATAAGGGCACGCGTGCGATTGAGATCCATCGAAATATATATCGACGACCCAGGACGATGCTAGCACGGTCTCAACTTCCTGTACATCGCGAATGAAAATTCATTCGCCAATAAAAGACACATGTTTCCGCATGGCGGGCTATGTACATCCAATTGGACGTCGATAAACATTCCTTTCCTCGTTGTTTATTTTTTAATCAGCAGAATACATTGGTTCGAGAACACCATCGGTACTCTTCTTTAAGTTCTCGGTATTCGATTTTTAGAAATATGTTTACTCCACAAATTAATGAAATTTTTATTCCTTTTTGTTCTTTTATATTTTTACTTGTTCATCATTTATTATCTTTTTACATTTATTTTATTAATAAAACAAATTCTTTCACAGTCTTTAGACTGTTGTGTAATTTATCTTGATTTTTTTGTAGCTCCCATAGTTTTGCATACGTCTGTTTTTAGTTCTTACGTGTTCCTATTGTTTCGTTCCTGAAAGGAACGTCTCTCAGTCATCTTCTCAGACCGATTTTATCCTCGATTTTATCCGATACTGACCGAGACGAAGAGGTAGCGCCGGATAAGCTGTCGACGAGAGACTGGCATCTTATGGAATGCCGTTTCCAAATGCGATAACAGATAATCGCGAACTTTTTTGCGCCAGCCGCAAATGCAGGGCTCGAATGGTATTTGCGAGAGAGCGCGCGGATTACCAGATTCGTCCTGTTTATATGGCACTTAAAGCCGGCTCGCCACGTAAGCCCGCGAGAGAGCGTGGCCACTTACCTTTACGGGCTCTTAAGATCTAATTTAGATTAGAGTGTTGTGGCTCGGGTGCGCGCTGCTACCGACGACGGCAGCGTCGTGCTCGACTGGACTAATCGTTCAACTGCAAGCGGTTCCGACCAGTCCTAGCGTGTCCCAGCGTGTTCCTGTTGGTTTTAATTTTTTATCCCGGCTGTAAACTCCAAGGAGAGAAATACGAAGAGAGAGAAAGAGAGCGGAGTGCGTTTAAACCGATGAGGCCTCGCGTCGTCGCTCCGAATGTCCGGCAGCGGTTATTTACTTTTTTACTGACGAACGATGTGGCTAATTAATAACCTCGTAAACGTTAACACGTACGGCCCGTTAAAACGCGGTCACTCCTGACGTGATATTTCAGCTAGCTCTACATCAATATTGATATAATTGGCAAAGTTTTGTTGTCAAAGATTCGCTTCGTTACTTGATATCTTTGATATTATTTTCTAATTAAAATAAAAAATTAATAAATTAATCAAACGCCGGATTGTTCCACTTTAATGATTCGAATCCACTTGCTTAAATGCAGAGAACATGCAGAAATCAGAACTAATCGTATCAAAACTTTTTGATGATTTTTTTACTTTGTAATTATCCATTCGACCAATCAAGCGCCGTTTCATTGTAATTTCCAAAAGCTGACTCGGCGAAATCGCGCGCGCGGCCACCCCCGTTGCGCGCGTTCTCAATCTACACGGTGGATCCATAAAATTTATCGTCAGTTCGCGTCGCATTTCGAGGGATCCACCTGTTCAAAGGGCCGCGCGACGCGCTTCTCGGTAAATCATTCCAAAGGATGCCTTTATATCTGCGGGGTGGGCCGGTGGTGAGTTTAATAAGGATGATTGTTTCCAGTGATCCATGGAACGGAACCAGTTCCACGGAGCGGTCTCTTCTTCTGTTCCCTCCCCTTCTTTCCTGTCTTCCCCCCCCCCCCCTCGCCGGCCCTCCGCCGCGATTCTAGCCCTTCTCTGGCCGTGCCGTCCGCTGTGTCCCGGACCCGCAACTTCTCCTGTCATTAATCGGCCGACGACGAGTCATGCTCCCGATTAGAAACGCCGCCGACCCGTTATTCGTTTCTCAACAAATAAGATTAGTGCCTTCCGGAGTTAATTAGTGGACGCTGTTGTTACATCGAGTCTGCGGAAGCAGTATTAGATCTCTGTCATATTGTAGAACAACATAGAGTTGACACCACCTTTATTTTATCCTTTTCGATCGATTAGTTTATCATAATAATATTCGGACGTGATGGAATACGCAATGTTTTTATTTTATATATTAAAAGTCGATGGTAAATAATTTTTATTCCAAGATGTGTATGCTATTATTTCACTTAAGATGATATATTAAATGAATTCAAAATCTGCTTACAAATAATATTTTGCAATTAAAATTTAATATTTGAAGGTCAAGGCTCTCTCTTCATCTGTGGAATACAACGAATCTTAAAAATATGTAAGATAAT